GTCAAGTTGTATTATGAGTTCTCTTTGATATATACCAGTTTTAAGGAGCAAATCGTTAAAAAGATTTCTTTATAACTTGCAGGACCCAGGTAAGACACTATATAAAAAATTACAATAGTTTCAAATATTTTAATTACATGTAATTAATTAATTAATTTCTTGTGTTTTTAAATCACCTTTTATGAACTAAACGACAAATTATGTATTTGTTGTTTGGACAAATACCAAATACATAACTTCATTTATTCGAATCTGAAATATTTTCATTACCTAGTCGAATAATTATTTTATTAAGTGCTCTTGAAGTTTTTCTTTTGACTAAGATTCTAATTAAATCTTCCTGAAATAGCTTCATAATTTTAATACATGTTTTTTTAGGGGTTACTGGAACTACTCAGTGATGAGGAATGAACGTGAGGCTGCTAGAATTAATCAGTAATTTAAAAACAACATTCGTTATCGGAAGTAATGTAAATTCCTCAATATCATATATTTTCTTTGGTCATTATAGAACTGGGTCTGGAAAGTAAGATTTGGATTTTTTCATTATTTCATATGAAAAATTTTTAAATTTTTTAATTCTTTTAACTATAAATTGCATATGCACTTATATAAACATAAGTATAAGTACATATCATACACTATGTTTTCTCAATTCGGTTGAAAATTCATCTTCTTCTAATCGATTTACTTTTTAGACTTGAACTGAATCATATTTTGTAGTACCCATTTGCATATAATTTAACAACATAGATAGTAGATAGCAATAACACATAGTGGTAAATACAATGCTATATATTTTCATTTTCCAATAATTAAAAAAAAAAATAATATTTTATAACCAGGTGATGCTAACGATTATGATACCAAACGTGTCGAAGGACCTGATTATTTTTCGATGTGCGGCTAAGCAACAGACTAAGAAGAGTTTCCATCTTGTTAAAAATTTTGTGGATCCATAACATAGAAAACTTCGTATTAACAATATTAAACTTAATAACTTTCGGCAATAAACATATTCTGCATAATTTCTACAAATTGTTTTAATATATGAAAATTGATATTCGATTCCAAAAGCGAAAATTACTAGGTACTAGGGCCGCCTTTGTGTAAATACTGTGAAATACTGACTATAAAATAATATTTTGAGCTCCCATAACATCAAAACACCCTGATGTAGCAAATACTACACATTTACGTGATTTAGTTAAAATTATCAGTCGATATTAGACTGAAGACATAAAGCTATTATCATATGCAAAATTTACAACTCGAAGTGCTATAATATACATAATGACTCAATTGAACTTAAATTTTTTAGAAAACTTTTGAATTTCAATTATTTTATTTTATGATTATGATTATAAAACCACAAAAAAATATATTGGAACCGTATGCGGAACCGTCGATCCGTATGCGTCACCAAATTAAACTTCATCCACTAATAACGAAAGTCTTGCCCCATCAAGACTTGTGGTCATACTGCACTCACAATAATATGTAAAACTTTGGGTCTCACCCATTTTAGGTCAGCATACTCTAGATGGTGGTAAGAAGTTCTATTGGAATATCTGCTTTCTTGACAGGATACTATATAGTATAAATGCTGAACTTAATTATTTTATACTAAATTTAAATCAAAATATAGGTGAATTTCAGAAAATTTAGTGAAGTATGAAAAAATGTCATTTGATGTCATTGACATACCAAAATGTTTGCAGAATTATTAAAGAAAAAATTCATTTTAAATATTGTGATGTCAAATTTGTTTGGTTGCCACATCTAAATGACTTAAGTGATTGTTTTGTTCAAAATCTGTAAAAAAATTAACTCTTCAACTTCTACCTATTTTCTATTCCATTTCACTCTTCGTTTGCATTTGGAACTTTAGTAGTCCTTAATTCAATCTAAGTTAATTATTTTCTTAATTACACCGTTTCATTGTGAGCAAAGGCAAATACCATTGCGTGGTTTTTAGTGCTTAGTGCAGCTTAATTTTTTTGTTGTTAATACAAAAAAAATAAGATATTTTAAAAAGATAACATCAGGTTTAAAGAATATTAAACACCTTTCATACAAAGTTAATGTAAAGTTAGTAAATACGATATGTACCATCATCTAAACGTATTGGGCCAAAAAATTTTTCTCAGTACTTTCCGTTCGTAGAATAGTAGTTGGCAGGTTTCTTTCCTTTGAATGTCCATACTACGCAGCCGCAGGTGAAGTCTGGTCTTATTAGGTGTTTTCGTATATACAGATTTAATATCTTGATAATATTATTGATTGAAAAAGATTTATATGTACGTAGTATGTATTATTTGATGTCTACATTTTATCCTGTATCGCAATTGACGTGTCTTCTTTCGAACTCAGTACCATTTCAAGGTATTTGAATTCTATGAACGCTTCAAAACTGGTATTGCCAGTATTATATTGATTGTTACAGACTCTGGATTTTGATCTCAGCATAAATTATGTTTTTTTGGATGATTAACTTTTAGCCCGACTTAGCAGTGCTGCTCTCAAGTTTTTTGAACGACGATCTTAAAACGTTAAAACGACTAAAATTAACTTAGAGAATTTAGGAGTGTTTTTACCAACGTTTATTTTAGGATTAACAATACCTTATTACCATGTTTCTTGGTTAATGTTGAACATGAAAAGCACATCTTTTTCATACGATTCTGATCATTTCCTTGATCAAGAATTCACATCCTCTATTCATTATTTCTAGTTACGAAGACCCAGTATAAATGGAGATATTAGAAACAATTATAGATACAACACAAAAACTCTTAATATTATATTTCAAAAACAAAAGTATCTATTTTTTTATTAAACTTAAATTAATTAATTCAATCGCGATATCTCTGAGTACCTCACTAAACATTTTTCTAATTAAATATAGGTTTCCTTTTTATTCGTTTTTAAACATTTTTTTTATATATTAGAATTAAATTGGAAACCATTTCTTATATTATGTGATGTATTTCTCTCTTAAAAACTGAAAATGAAAAGTGAACAAATATATTTGTTCTTATGTACTATTTTCCATGCTGTATTTATTATATATTATAATAATATATACAGTAATTTAATTTATACAGTAATTTCAATATCATTTAGTGCATTAGGAATTCAATGCATTAGGAATTTAAAGTCATTTTTTTTTCGGATTATATACAAATTTTATAATTGAAAGTAAACTCTAAGTAAACGGGAGTTAACCGGGATGATTATATTTGACATAGCCAAAGCTTTTGACAAGGTCTGGCATGATGGTCTAATAGTCAAATTAGCCCGTTTTGGGATCCCTAGTGGTTTGACTAAAATCATTGGTAGCTTCCTGCAAGAAACGTCCTTCCGTACTAAAATTAATAGCACTCTTTCGTCCGCCCGATCAATTGTAGCAGGTGTACCTCAAGGGTCGCCTTTGTCTCCCACATTGTTTAATGTATATACGGCAGACATCCCCACCTTAAGTCCCACGTCAATGGCGCTTTACGCAGACGACACATGCTTGATCTACTCGGATCGGGATGCCACAAATGTAAGCAACACGTTACGGGGAAATATAGACCTTATGGTAGAATACTTCCAAAAATGGAAGATTAAAATTAATAATGACAAAACCAAGGCTATATTTATAACTCGAAAAAGAAGACAGCATCCTCCAAGAGTGAGTGTTTGCGACACGGAGATACGGTGGGAGGATAACATAAAATATCTGGGGGTCACTTTTGACAAACGGTTCAATTGGCTTAAACATTTGAAATACAAACGGAATAGCTGCTCTAAGATTCTACATTTACTAAAGCCGCTATTTAATAATTATCACTTCAACTTTAAAAACAGAAAGTTACTTTATACGCAAGTAATTAGACCTGCACTTCTGTACGGATGTGTTACATATAGTAAAGCCTCAAATACCACCTTAAAGCAATTACAGATAGCTCAAAACCTGGCTTTAAGAAAACTGTTTAAGATTCCATGGTACATTAGATCAACGGACATACATAGAGATCTTAGGATTGACTCAGTGAAAAAATATATCAAAGACAGAGCTTTAAAATTATTCACTAAAGTTGATACGCTACTTAAACTCCGCCCTAAATCCTCAAGTCCATTCTGGACTCTCAGGAAGATATGCTGATTTAAGTCCGTCATCAACTAAAAGACAAATAAATGATATGATTTTTTAGCCTAGTTAAAGCCTAGTGTGGGGTAGAGATAAGCCCCCCAGCCATTATAGAGTAAAAGTGCGTAATAGCACTAACTCAAGTAGTAGAAGAAGAAGAAGAAGTAATAATAAGTTTATTAAGATAAATAGATAAGTAAATAAATTTTTTAGATAAATAAACCGGAAATATAGGAATTATGTATGAAAAATGAAAATTGCTTAATTAAGCAGAATTTTAAATATCGATCCGTCACTTAATTAATTAACATAATAGCAATATTTAGAATTCATACTGCGTTTTATAATTATAAAAAAATAATCCTGCATGTCTTGTTAAAAGTTAACTAGTAATTAAAAACTGACCACTTTTATAAACTATCATTAAATTTATTATAGTAAATAAGTCGGTTTCTGTTTGTTCGCATATCTATGTTAATTAATTTTTAAATTTGTATAAGTTTCATTTCAATTTCGTTCTCTTACTAGAGCACAAGTCATTCGTTTACAGGACATACTCCTGTCGCAATTCAATAAAATATTTTGTAATATGTAAGATACTAATTAATCTTCTGCTATACGATATTAAAATATTTAAATAAGAAACAATTAAGCTCCATCGAAGAAGTTTAATCGATCTGGTTTTCATACTACTAGTTCAAGTGCATTTATTGTTCCCACGAGTATTCTATTTTACAGAATATTAATGAGTTCTTTAAGCATTCAATCGCACTATAATAAGCAACATCCAAACTATAACGCTGACTACTTACCACAGTCATCACAATCATCAGATCAATTGTTTAAACAGGTGCCGATAAAAATGGGCTGGTTCGAGCGAAATCTAAGAAATAAGCGACAATTCTATTCAATAGGACCAGGTAAGAAGTAAAATTCATAAAAACAATCGAAAGTAGATTAAACGGATAGTGTTGTATAGGGCTTGACAAGTTTGTGTGAAATTCGCAAAATTATCTTAGAGAAGAAATTTTCTCTCTAGAGAAACTATAAAAAGAATATTAAATATTACAATCAAGAAATAGCTTTAAGTATTTCAAAGTTTTTAATACTTATTGTGTATTGGATGCGCTGTTCAAAACTATTAGAATTATTTTCTATTGAAGCTAATTTACAGAATATGGTACCATGATTGTGAAACAAATAATTGGAATCTCCTAACTTGCACCAATCCTACCAGCTACGTGAATTCTAACGGAATCAGACTATTAAACGTCATTTGTAAGGTTGTGTTAAACATACATTTTAAAAGACTGAAGCATGTGTGAACCAACAAATTAGAGCTTACAAGTGTGGCCTTAAACTTAGCCACATCTTGGAAAAGAAACAAAAGAAATGACATCAGTATGCATTATAATTTTGTCAATTTCAAAGTCGGTATTAGTCCGATTAAATTAGATTATAAATTTCTATTAGGAGCATATTTTAGGAAATATATCTGAATTTGATGTTCCAGAAAAATGTATTCGGCTTACTTATGTGGAATGATAATAAATAGCACGACCACCCACTTTAGAATTAAGAGAAATCTGTCCGTATGTTTTGGGGATAACAGACTTCAGATATAAGTAATATGAGATATATGAATAATCTTTCGCAAACAGTTTCTCAAAGCTCCTTAGACAAATACCAACCACACTAATGTATTTGGTATATATCAATACAGCATTATCAAGGTAGGATGTTTTTTACGAAATAACGGCGGTGTTCGTAATCCAAATTAGAAATGGCACTATCCCCAAATCCATAAAAGGAAAGATGGTAACTACTGCACTCCAACTTTTTGCTTATATCACGAACGTATTGTTATATTGTATAAAAACCAGAATACAAAAATTATTAGTACATCTACAGTCCACAATTGGTATCTATTTAAGGTATATTTGTCGTTTCATATATTCAAATTTATTCATAATGTCAGTAATGAATCAGTCTATGTATAAAATATGATACTTCAGGCTTATGTTTTTAAGAATTAATATGTTTATTAATATATACAAAATCACATAAAACATTATTATGTTTTCTTACAGCCGCACTGGTATTTATTTCTGGTGGAATGCATATAGCCTTCAGTTTCAACATTTACCATGAAAGCCACTGTAAATTTTGGTTTATAGGTGCAATTATTGGGACTTTAATAGGCTCCATCCTTTGTTATTTTATTAATAGAAAATTATTATTTGTGAGTTCAATCTAATTAATTTAAAAATTTTTATTCTTGTTTCCTTATCATTTCAGATGTTATCATCCTCGCTTATTATAATTGGTGGCATACTCTTCACTTTTTATTTCTATGATGATAATGAATTCATTGCTGCTCTGTATCTGAATGGTATGGCTAGTGGGATATTGGTTTCGCCTGTACTGGTATTAGCAGGCGAGGAGTCGGTAAAAGGCTTACGTGGCTTACTTGCAGCGTCAGTTGAAGCGATGTCTTTCTCACTCGGAATTTTTCTTTATTATCTAATATATAACATTTGGCAGTTCTCTGAAATATCCTTTAGATTGGAGATAATGCTAGGAACGTTGTACATTATTTTTGGAGCAATTGGAATAGTCGTTGTATTCTTCTTCTATGTGGAATCACCTATATTTTACTTGGCCCGTAATGATGAAAATCGGGCAATTGATTCAATTCGTCGTCTCCAAAGTTGATTTGAGATTAATAATGAAATTTATCAACAGTTAGCTGAACATAAGAAATATATCGCACACAATAAACAAACTTTACTTAAACATAGTTTGATTTCCAACTTAACAATTCTATTAAAGCTTTGTTTATATCGAAGTTTGGTTGCTTTAAGTTATTCGTTTATAATACAAAATCATTTTTTGTCGATTGCTGCTGCTGCTGCAAAAAATAATAAACATTGGAGTTTCAGTATTATCGGTGCTCTACGTTGGTTGGGTGTATCTCTCAGTGCATTTATAATAGATTCGATTGGAAGAAGAAAACCAATGTTAATTGGATCTGTTGTTTGTGGAGGAACGTCACTAAT